GATGTAGTCCCATATGTTCATTTTTTCTTTTACTTCCCTAGCCCGCGGGGATGTATCAGTAAAAATATTGCTCAGGGTAATGTCTGCAAATTTAGACCATATATTTTCTTCTATGAGTTTTATGGTCTCAGGTCTTATATTTAAGTCTTTAATCCATTTTGAGTTTGTTCTTGTATATGGCGTAAGGAGGTCAGACCTGCTTATCCAGCTATCTATTGAAATGTTCCACTTATATTTCAAAAGATACTTTAAATGTATATCTATGTAAATATGTCATAATTTATTTATTCTACTGTTGATGGACATTTGGGTTGTTTCCAGTTCTTTGGTATCTTTTTTCTTCTTCATGAAAATTTATTTCTTTTCCTATATTTCCTATTTCAGTAAATAGTACCACATTCACCCAGCTGCCCAAGCCAGCAACTTGGGAATTATCCTTTCCCATTATACCTTACCAACTCTCAGTCACAAATCATGACTATTGTAGCTGCTAAATATCTTTCTTCTCTGTCCCATAGACTTTATCCCATCAGGCTCTTTTGATTATCAATATCAGTATAATTTGTTTAGTACAAGCTGTGTGCTTTTTTATTAGTTTCAGGTGTGCAAAACAACATCACTGTGTGTTTATTAGACATTTATATACCTCACAAAGTAATAACCCCAATAAGTCTATTACCCATCTTACATTGTACATAGTTGTTACAATTTTATTGACTATACTCCCTATGCTGTACTTTATATCTCTGTGATTATTTTTTTATACTTGACATTCAATATTATATTAGTTTCAGGTATACAGTGTATTGGTTAGACATTTATATAATTTATGAAGTGATTCCCTCCAATGTATAGTACCTATCTGACATTACACATAGTCATTACAATATTATTGGCTGTATTCCCCATATTGTACTTTACATCCCATGACTATTTTGTAACTACCAATTTGTACTTCTTAATCCCTTTACCTTTCTCACCCAACCCCGTAGCCCCCTCTCCCATCTAGTAACCATAAGTTTGTTCTCTGTATCTATGAGTCTCTTTCTGTTTTGTGTGTTCATTTATTCTGTTCTTTAGACTCCACATATAAGTGAGATCATACAGTATTTATCTTTCTCTGTCTGACTTATTTCACTTAGCATAATACCCTCTAGGTCCATCCATGTTGTTGTATATATGCTTTCTATATATAAAATAGTTTAATCCACAATAACTGTGAGGAACGTAGTTTTATCCCAATTTTATATATGAGAAAATTGAGACTCAGAAAGATTGTCTTATATAAGTTTACTCAGCTAGTAAGTGGTGGGGAAGTTGAGGCAGGATTAGAACACAAGACTGCCTAACTTCAAAACCAGTACCCATAACTATTATTCTCTTCTGGACCAAAATTGTAATTCTTAACAGCAACCTCTTTTTTGGTCTCCCTGTCTGTAGTCATGCTTCCTCAAATTCATGCCACTCTATTTTAAATCCTTCAATAGCTCCCCCTTGCTTAGAACTTGATAAAGTCTAAGTTTCTTAGCATGGAATACTTTGTCCTCCATGATCTGGCCCTTCCTGTTCTTTTCCATTTTACACCTCTCCTCCTTACCTCTGTGCTCCAGGTATGTTGAGCTACGTGCAGTAACTCACATGTATCACATTCTCTCATACCCTGTGCCTGTCTAATTACTTCCTCTTCTTTTTAGCCTGGCTCACTCTTATTGATTCTTCAAGCCTTGATTTTGATCTCCCAAACATTCTTTTGAAAAACATGTCCCAACTGCCTCTTATCCCCAATCCATTTTGGTGCGCGTCCCCTGTGCTCCAAGAGCACTCTATGCTCTGTCATGGCACTATCACACATTTCTATTATAGTAACTATCACCCCTAGAACAAACAGATTGTTCACTGTTCACCTCTTCCATTAGACTGACAGCTCCTTGAAGACAAGTGCCATTTTTAAATCCTTTTTTGTAACTGTGGTGCCTTGCACATGGAGGCATTCCTTTAATATTTGTTGGCTAAATAAAATGCTGTGAATTGGATAATTTAAATTGAGCATAAAAGTATCCATTCTTGTGCACATTGAATTTTATTATATTTTGATTTGGGAGTCTAGGTACTGAAGCAGTAATAATTTGTTGTATAGGGTAGCTTATACCTTGGGGTCCCGTGTGATTGACACAAATCTGGGGTTGCCCTCTCTGTGTCAGATTGGTGGGAATTCTAGCCCCAAAGTCATAGAATGGCTTATGGAATCCCTGTAAGAAACTTGGCAGCTTCAGGTAACCTTGGGAGGCTTCTCTTAAAAATAATGGAAAATATGGAGTTGCCTCACTGTGGTGAGAGATGTTCACTCCAAAGTGGTAGGAAGCAGTCCTTTGTTACGAGTTCTGGCGCACACGGTCTAAACCATGGTTCTCAGAGGCTCCATTCCACAAAACTTTTAAGTTGGTGCCTTTAAAACCTTCCCTTGCCTTTGGACCTACAACAACTTAATGAGAGATGAAGGAGGAACACCCAGGTTACCCCCTTTGCTTAGTTTTAGACTAGAGAACAATTTTATGTTGTGGTATTTTTTAACATATGTTTCTTCATCATCTGTATTAATTGCCGAAGCAGGGGAGATAAAAGGAAAGTAGTCCTCACTCTTGTCCTTGTTGTCTGTTGTAGTGACTTCTCTTCATATCACAGTTAAAGCGGTATGTAATCAAATGTAAGGTTGTGTTGTTCAAGCCCATTCCTTGGGAAGGACAAATGGGATGGTCACCTGTGCTTTGCCCTTGTTGGTAGAGGGCGAAGAGGGAACACCTTACTCCTCTTGTCTAAATACCAATAAAATTTAATTTTCAACCTTGGAGGAGGGAGTGGGGAGGGGCTGGGGGGAGGCGTGAGGGGTTTCTGGGGTGCTGGCTGTTATATGTTCCCTTTGAGAATGTATTGATCTCTGTGCTTATGTTTTATGTATTTCTGTATGTATCTTATGTCAATAAGACACATTTCCCAAGGAGCCGATGAAAGATGTTAATGGCGAGGCTCTTTTCAAGTTGCCATTATTTTGTGTGGTCCACCACGGGTTGAGGAGTTCTGCCCCAGGGGTGTGCAGACTCTACATGGGGTGGGGAGCAGTGAAGGCAGCGGTTAGTGTGGGCAAGAGTAGTCAGGGAAGACCAAATAGTCATTCGTTCAGTAAACGTGAGCTGAGCACGAACCAGGTACCAAATGCTGTGCTGACATAGAAAAGCTGAACAAGACCAGAGGTCAGAGTTGGAGGGAAAAATAAGATCGGAGTGATGTCTAATCTCTCTGCTAGTCCTTAAAGTATAGTAAAAATAACAAATGCTTATTTAGAATTTTTTATTTACTAAGAGCTTTCTTTACATATATTATTGACATATAGCTTTATATATATTTATTTAATCTTCACAATAACTATGAGATACACACTGCGACTAACATCTCATTTTATAGATGAGGAAACTGAGGTAGAGAGATGCTAGGAAATAGTGGAGCTTGGATTCAAGCCTGGCCGTCTGGCTCCCTATTTCTCTGCTCAAAATTACTATGCTCTGTGGAATCAATGCAAAGCATATCAGACGTGTGGGTTGACTTGGAGGCACTATTTGAAGATGATCTGAAATCCTGCTTCTGGTACTCTCCTGTTTATGTTTTGGAGCTCTGCGTGAATGCCTTTTCTTCTTTTTACAGACATGGCTGGACTCTGCGAAAGAAATAAAAAAGCAGGTTCGTGGTAAGTGAATATTGCCTTTTTATAGTTCTTTCTTTTAGTAGGTTAGAGGCCTTGCAACCATTTTCTGGCTGTGAGTCACTTTAGAATCTTGACTCTAGCAGATGGCTTTGAAATTGAGATAAAGCCTCCCCCTGGAAGGCGGAGATTTCGTAATAGAAAGATACAGCAGTGGTGGACACTGTTGAGATGTAGGTCAGATCTTGATTTTTTTTTTTTTTTTACAACTAGGCAAAGTTAGGAAAGATAGGAGCAGTTGAGAGAAACAGAAGGTGGAAAAGAACAAAGATGAGAAGAGAAAATGATATGGTAGTCAGTTCTTAAAAGGGTAGTGATTGAAACTATAGTAGCCGTCAATTAGGAGTTTGCTGCCTGATTCTATTCCTTTTAAATTGTTCTGGACTATTGCGTTCTAACCTTCTCCATGTTTTCCTCTCTATTTCTTTATGTCCCTTTTCTACAGTCCTCTTCCAAACTGAAGTATAACAATAGAAGAATGAGAATTCCTTGCCAATGACCCTTTTGACATTGTGGCTTTCTCCTAGCCTCAAACCCTCTAGAATATATTACTGCTGCATGCCCTGCTCCAACTAAAGTCCAGGGATAAATATTTCTAGGTCAAAAAGTATAGATTAGTATTTTCTAGCCCTAGGCCCAAAGGGCTAGCTAAAGTGTAGAGACTCAACCTCTCCACCCTCATTTATGACTATACATCTTTATAGTTTAGTTTCTTTTAAGGAAACTTCTAGGAACTGCAATAGATGTTATTTGTCATGATTAATTCATTTTAACTATCACCTGAAAACAAATTTTATTTTTCACTTATTTCTTAAAAGAAAACACTTCTATTATGGTGAAATGTTTCCTTTAGACACTATTTGTAATTTATATTTCTTAAGACAGAAAAAAACCAAAATCCTCCTTTGGACTGGCAACTCTCCCTATTTGCTCCCTGCCCATAAAATCTTGTTTTAAAATGCAAGTCAGCAAAAAAAAAATATTCAGAATATTTGAGACATGACAAGAAAAATAGAGCTCCCTAGCCCCTGTCAGTGAAAATACTTTTAATATTCAATATTACTCAGGAAAAAATTATTTGGGAACAAAAGTTAAAAGTGTTTATGATGAGTAAAGAATATCTAGTAGATTATCTTCCTGATTCTCTCTCTCTCTCTCTCTCTCTCTCTCTCTCTCTCTCTCTCTCTATATATATATATATATATATATATATATAACTTGCTAAGTATCCTGTTTTTAAAAATTTACAACATAGTAAAAACCCTTCCTTCAACAAAGGAATGAAACACTGTGTCCCTGACACAAACTTTGATAGGGAATCAAAATGTAAACAATTCATTAAGCCAGAGAGAAGATTGACGTTTATCTATTGCAAAGGCTTTGGTTTTTTAAAAATGTTTTTTATTGTGCAAGTAATATATAGCCATTGTGAAAATTTTAAACATTATGGAAATATATCATAGAGAAAGTAAAAGGCTCCTAAATTCTGTCCACCAGATTTAATCATTGTTAAATTGGTATAATATGTAAGATTTTTTTCTAGGCATATTATATATAGGTTTTGCCTTTCAAAAATACAATTATACTACACATTGTTATGTATTATGTATTTTATTATATATGTATTACATATGCTATATGTAGTTTTTTACATTAATTTTTAAAATAGGTGATATAAATGTATAATATAAAATTAAAAGATACAGATGAATATAGTACAAGGTACATCTCCCTCTACCTCTGTCTCTGAACTAATTTCTTATGTTTTTTCCAGAGATGTTCCGAGTTGTATCTAGACACATGCACACATGTGTGCACATGTATTTTAACATAAATATATATTTACATGTGTTTTAATATAAACATGCATTCAACATGTACATATTTTTGTATGTATATTTTAATATAAATAATTTTAATATATATTTTATATATGTTTAATATAGATATGAAACCAATCTTTTAAAACATAATTTGGAGGACTCTTCATATCAACATATATAATTTTATTTCATTCCATTAAAATTATTTTAAATGATTATATAGTTGTAGCATAATATATTTAGCCAGTCTTATTGATGGATATTTTGAGTTAATCTCTTTTACCTCCTTGGTTAAATTTACTCCTAGGTTTTGTGGGGTTTTTATTGTTTTTTTTCCCATTCAGTAGGCTGTCTTTTCATTTTGTTGATGGTTTTCTTTGCTGTGCAAAACTTTTTAGTTTGATGTAGTCTCATTTGTTTATTTTTTCTTTTGTCATAAAACAATTCTAACCTCCACCATGAGTGTTATATTCTGATTTTTTTCTTTTGTGTTCTGTTTCATTTTTTTAAATGCTGATTTTGACCCACTAAGTGGATTTCATAATGGCTCATGATCCACAGTTTAAACACTGACTTAGGGTATATACCTGGAATTGCTAAATTATAGGGTATGTTTAATTTTAGTTTTTCTAGATATTGCCAAATTGTTCTCCTTTAAATTGATTGTAACAATTTATATCCTCACTAATGGTATATGAGAGCTCCTGGTTTCCTGTAGTCTCAGAGGCAGGAATTTTTTTCAATTATTAATTTAGAGGAAAAAATTGGACATAATTTCAGACTTAACAGAAAATTTGAAAGAATAGAACAAAGAATTCCTGGATACCCTCCACCCAGATTCCTCAAATGTTAATATTTTGTTATGTTTGCTTTATCTTCCTTCCCTTCATCTACACACACACACACACACACACACACACACACACACACACACACACACACAGAGAAACACACACACGGGTCCTTTTTTTCTGAAACATTTAAGAGTAAGTTGCATCATAGCAGCACCATTTACAATAGCCAAAAGGGGAAAACAACTCAAATGCCTATCAAAGGATAAACAAAATATGATATAGCCATACAATGGAATATTATTCAGCCTTAAAAAGGAATGAGGCACTGATAACTGCTAAGCACAGATGAAACTCAAAAATATTCTATTAAATGAAAGAAGCCAGACATAAAAGGCCACATATTATATGATGCCACTTATCTGAAATATCCAGACTAGGTAGATCCCTAGAAACAAAGCCGATTAGAGGTTGCCAGAAGCTGGGGTTGCTGAGGGAGTGAGTGCTTAATGGATACAGAGTCTCCTTTGTGGGTGATGAAAATGTTTGAAACTAGATAGAGGTGATGGTTTTACAACGTTGTGAATGTACTCAATGCCACTGAATTGTACAATGAAAAGCCTACTGAATTGTAGGCTTTAAAACGGCTAGTATATGAATTTCACCTCAAAAAAACGCAGAGTAAGTTGTAGTTATGAACTTTAGTTTGCATATCCTAAAAACTAAGAATTGATTTCTTAATATATGGTTTCTTACATAACTATAATACAGTTATAAAAGCCGGAAATTAACACTGAAACAGTACTCTAACCTATAGACTTTGTCAGTTGTCCTAATAATATCCTTCATAGAAAAGAAAGTCCAAGGTGATACTTGCAGTTAGTGGTCAAATCTCTTTAGTTTTCCCTTTTTTAGAACAGTTCTTTAAAGTATTTCATAACATTGATAGTTTTGAAGAGCCCAGACCGATTATTTTATAAATGGTCATTCTGATATTTGTTTGATGTTTCCTTGTAGTACATGAATCTTCAGGTTATACACTTTTCGCAGGAATGTCATTGAAGTGTTGCTGATTTAGAGGCAAAAATTTTAACGTTAAAAAATTTGAGAGCTTTCTAGCCACCATTTTTTAAATTTCACTAAACGTTCTCTATAAGGTATTATTAACTATATGTATCATATTCTAGAAATGGTCGCTGACTGAAGCTTAACTTTAATATTTTTTTGTATTTCAACTGATTAACCCTTTGAACATCTCTATTGCATTTAACCCTGACCTTGTATGCAATGAAATTAGATAACTTCTTTAAATGTATGCCAAACTTGTATCTTTTGCATGGAAAAGAATAGGAACTGAAAGTTTGGGTTCCTCTTCTTACAATTGCTGTTAACAAAAGTAAAAGAGTTAATTTGGGGGACATCTCTAGATGTGATTATTGTTAACTCAGTTAAACTATCTTATTTTGGGTTAAATGGAGAGGAAAAATACAACTGGAATACAGAGGTTTTTGTTTGTTTTGTTTTTCATGTTTTCATTTGATTAGGCCTAGTAACTTGAGGTCACGGGGGATCTGGATTAATGAATAAATAAATAATTTTAATATACTAGAACCTGTTATCCTTCTTTTGTCCAATTCTTTCTAAAAAAATTTTTTTTGTGTGTGCGAAGCTGTAGCATTCTCGTATAACCTTCACAACAGTTCTGTGAGATCAATTACTGTATTTCATTCATTCATTCAATAAGTATTTCTTCAGCATCCATGTGTGACATGCCAAGCTCTGTTTCAGGCATTAGGGATATACATCAAATAAGACAGAAAAAAACTCTTGTCCTTAGGTATTTGCAATTTAGTGGGAGGAGACAAAGATTATCCTTTAAAAAAATTATATATATACCTGTGTGTGTGTGTGTGTGTGTGTGTGTGTGTGTGTGTTTAATCAGTAGTATATGTACAAAGTTCAAATGGTATAAAAGCATATAGTGAACCTGGTCTCCCTCTCATCCGTTTTCCCCTAGCCTCTTAGTTTCATTTCCCAGGTGTTCCCCTTCTAGTTTCCCAACCACTGTAACTGGTTTATTGTATATCCTTATAGGGATAGTCTATGTATATACAGTCATACCTTTTTTCTACCCCCAACTTTCACAGTTGCTTTCCATCTGTACTATTCTTTGCCTTGATTTTTTTCACTTAACAGTATATCTTGGAGATGTATCTTCTCTTGCTAAATAGTACATATATTTAGGTTATTTCCAGACATTTGCTATTATAAAGTTTCTTATATAATAGTGACCACATTTAAGTTATTTAGATACATTTATGGAATTGGAGTTGCTAGGTGAGATGGTATGTGTGCATTTTACGTTTTGAAAGGTATTATCAAATTATTCTCCATAGTTTTGCAGTTTACACTCACATTGGCAATAGATGAAAGTGCTTATTCCGCCCTCCAACCCTGGGTGTTATCTTTTTAGATCAGTTACTTAACACAGAGTTCAAAGGGAAACAAAACCACACTTTATAAACTATTGCTTACTTGATTTCCTTAATGTTATTCTTCCTATACAATTAAAAAATTGCCATTTTATATATGTTATGAGCATAACATAAATATGTTATATGTTATGAAATTTATGTTTAAGGTTCTTAAATGCTGAATTCACATATATTAAACATTCTTTTGCCTATCTTGTTTTTCACATTGATTTGCTCTAGCCAAATATTTTTATAGGTAGTATAGAAGTCACCTTTTTTTATGTTTGTAATGGGAGCTATAAATTAACAACAGCTAGATTCATGTGATTTTATCATATCAGAAAGTAAAACAACAGATGGTGTTTTTATCTTACAGTATTTAAACTGTAAATACTGCCTGCTCATCCCCTCCTTTTTTTGATCTAAGTTCCATTTGAAGTTTTTGGGATATAAAGCGTTAGAACTGGGTTGATGGTAGATAATTAGGATTGGTTAGATTTGAGACAACTTTGTTATATTGTCTGGAATTTGCCTTTTAGCTCTAAGGTGGGAGGAAAATATCAAACATTTCCAACAATTCTATATTAAATATTTTAATATGCTTCAAACTACATATTGATTAAGATGTTCAAACTACTTCAAATTTTAATTTGCATATTGTCATTGCCAACTGTTAGCCATAAATGTGATATTTGGAGACGAAACACCATGGACGCAAAACAGACCAATGTTTGAAATATAGATGTTTGTAGTAGGATAGTAAAGTCCAGTGGTTAAAAGCATAAGATTTGGAGTAAAAGAACCCTGGATTCATGGGCTATGCACTTTCCTAAGCCTCTGTTACTTCATATATAAAATAAATCAACAGTCGTACCTACCTCCTTGGGTTTCTGTGAGGATTAAATGAGTAAATGTACACATATATAAGAGGGCTAGCTTAGTGCCTGGCATGCAATAAGTACTGAACAAAATGGCAACTCTTAGCATTATAATCAATCATACTTACTTTTTTTTTTTAAGATTTTATTGGTGAATTGTGGGGGAAGGGAACAGTGTTGGGGAATCGGGGAAGGGGAACATTGTGTTTTTCCAGGACCCATCAGCTCCAAGTCAAATTGCCGTCAATCTTAGTTGTGGAGGGCGCAAACTCTGCTCCAAGTCCAGTTGCCGCTTTCAATCTAGTTGCGCGGGGCACAGCCCACCATCCCATGCGGGAGTGGAACCAGCAACCTTGTTGTTAAGACCACACGCTCTCACCAGCTGAGCCATCCTGCCACCTGTTGGCAGCTCAGTGGCAGCTCAGCTCAGGCGCAGCTCACTGGCCCATGTGGAAATCAAACCGGGGTGACCCTGTTGCTCAGAGCTTGCGCTCTAACCAACTGCGCCACTTGGCCAGTCCCCATACTTCCTTTTGCCTGAGATTAGGCCCTACTCTTTGGGAAGCCAACAGTCATGTTAGAAAAACCCTGAAAGATAGCACTTAACTGGAAAATTGAAAGGCATTCTCCATTTAACTTTTACTCCTAACCTCTGATTTTCATTGTAGATTAAATAAATACATGACACACTTGTATAAGTTTTAGGGTTGAACTCTTGTAGTTTTCATACTTAAAATATTTTCATTAGAGCTATAGTTTCTAAAGGCCACCTATATTACCTTTTTCTTCTCATTTCTAAAATAATCTCCTAATCTCACCCATATTAATGGAAGAATTCTTTTGGTTATATGAGATAATACAGGCATACCTTGGAGATATTGCCTATTTTGTTTCAGACCATTGCAATAAAGCAAATATCGCAATAACTGAGTCACACAAAGTCTCCCAGTGCATATAAAAGTTATGTTTACACTATAGTGTAGTGTATTGCATGTGCAATAGCATTATGTCTAAGAAAACAATATACCTTAATTAAAAGTACTTTTTTGCTAAAAAATGCTCACTATAATATGAGCCTGTTGGAAAAATGGTGCCTATAGACTTGCTGGATGCAGGGTTGCCACAAACCATCAATTTGTCAAAAAGAAAAAAAAAACAGTATCTGCAACACGCTATAAAGCGAAGTGCAATAAAATGAGGTATGCCTGTATGGAGAGATATCACAAATAAATAATGACAACACCAAAAGAGAACATTCATGGATCACTCAAATGGGGACCCGGAGTGGTATATAGATCACATTTTGAAAACCATTCCTAGAAACGTGTTGATGTATAGGATGGCTTCCTTCGTGTTATTTTGCCTATATAGCTTTAGTTCTTTGTAAAAAAAAAACCCCAAAAACTATTGTATTAAGTCAGGTTAGAAAAAATAATGAGATCTCTAATTCTACCTCTTAAGTGGTGTCTAAACAACTTCTTTTTCTTTTAAAAATAAAGATAGTATTTCATTCACAATGCATGAAAATATTAAAACCTCAAGAAAAAAGAAAAATTTGTATATTTTTAAGTATTTCTAACAATCAAAAAGTTAGGCATAAACATAAAACTCTCTTGTGTTTATTTTTACAGGTGTCCCTTGGAATTTCACATTTAATGTAAAGTTTTATCCACCTGACCCAGCACAGTTAACAGAAGATATAACCAGGTAAATAATTCATAATAGTTAAATATGTAATAAGTAATCCTCACTATCATAAGCTCTGGGAATTTCTCTTTTCAGAATTAAAGAACAATGATGAGCTACATTAAACCTAAGATAGAAAGTTTTTGATCAGGCTTACAAATAAGTGAGCCTAAAAACCTCGTGTGTTGCCTGGAGGAAATTGGCAGGGGAATTAACCTTGCTTATCACGGGTATTATGCCAAGCTGTGAACAAGGCACCTACAAATTACTCCACCTCCAAAGGGCAAGACACAAATATAGTGGCAAAATAGCTGTTTTGTTTGCTTTTTTTAATACTCCTTTTCCACCATGTCTTTGATAAGGATCAAAAAAGCTGAAGTCTCAGTGTTACTATTTCTTCCTATTTCCCTTTTGAAGTGTATGGTTAGATACATGATCATCATGAACTAAACCTCCCTCAGTAATTTTTGAGCTCGCTTAATTTATGAAATAACTCTTATACTCTTTAAAAACAGCTTACTGATTTCTGTTAAGAAAGTGGCCTTTAGAACAAGACAAACAAATAAAGAAACAAAAACTATAGACACAGACAACAGTTTAGTAGTTACCAGAGGGTAAGGGGGGAGAGGGGTGGTAGAAGAGGGCAAAGGGGGTGAAATATATGGTGATGGAAGGAGAACGGACTCTGGGTGGTGAACACACAATGTGATATATAGATGATGTATTATAGACTTGTACATTTGAAACCTATGTAGCTCTGTTGACAGTTGTCACCCCAATAAATTTTAATCATAAAAAAAAAGAAAGTGGCCTTCATTGGATTCTATATGAATATTAACAGAAAGAGAAAATGGAAAAGCAGTGTATTATAAAAAGTATTACTACATGTTTATATCCATAGCATTTTGCTTGGAGCCTTATACATAGTAGATGCTTGGCAAATGTTTGTGAAATTGAACTGTTAGTTGTTGAGAAACTGCTTTCTCCTTCTGTTTTTGCTGTCAATTATTTGATTTCAGACAAATACACATTTCTGGGCTTCAGTTTTCATCTCTCTCAAATAAGAGAATAGCCTGAGACCCTTTAAAGGTCTGATTGTTAAGTACTCTGAAATGGCTATGACATTTTTAAAAATTATTCTTTATCTAGTTATATGTAGTACATTCTTGAAGCTGAGATGCTATAGCTCTGCCTGAAAAATTATTTTGGTTATTTCTTTTTCACAGGTAATATTTGACTCTTAGAGTTGCTACTTACTTGTATTTTTCTCCATCGAGGTTTATCATATATACAATAAAACAAATCCCTAAAAGTCTTTGTTAATTATCTGCATTTTAGAGGAGCTTGTGACTTGGTTGGCATTGCTCTTTTTTAAAATATATATGTAGTGACTAAATACAGGTAGCAAAAATGATTGCTGATACATATGTTATTCAACATCTTGTGGTCAAAGCAAGGATATGATTCTAATTAATGTAGGAATTTTCAATTTAATCATATCTCCCAGCTATTTGGTAAAATAGCCTGAACAGGTCAACTCAGTCAGAACAAGTGCTAGGAGGTCAGGGTCATACGTGTGAATGTTATACCGACAGAGAGAACACATGTAGGGGCATGCAGTTCGTTTGTTGGACTGAACTGTTTTTCTGAATTCCTAACAGTTAGCACAGAGCTGGAATCAGTCTTCCAAGATGATAGTGTGTGAAAGCTATATGCAACTTAAGCCCATCTTGGAGGAAAAACACACCGAAAAATGTTCATATCCTAGTGAAAATGTATCAATAATGTCATCTTTGTATATGAAGAGCAGTATCTACACATTCGGCAAAGCAGTGTGATAGAAAAGAAAGGGCCCAATTTTAGAGCCAAACAGCCTTTATTACTATCTAACATTGAACAAGCTTACCCTTTGATGCTGACTCCTCATCTGTAATCTGGCAATGGTCCCTCCTCGCAAGTTCTTTTGTGGTTAAATGATACAATATATGTATATATGGTTCTTAGTGCGCTCAACAAAATATTAGTTTCTTTACCTTCTTCAGATTTTTCCCAACTTTCCCTCTTCTCTTTCTAAACTGCTTTCTAACTATGAGTCCAACATATGGTTTTTAAAAAAACTTTTTATAGGGAAAAATTTCAAACAATAGGAAAGAAAAAATAACAGTACAGTGAACAACCATATACCCTCTATCTAGATCGAACAGTTATTAATATTGTCTCATATGTATTTAATCACTCTTTTTTTCTCTCTCCTCCCCTTCCTCTCTCTCCCCTTTTCTTCATTTTTCTTTATATATATATTTGTTGTTGTTGTTGTTGTTGTTGCTGACATGGTAACATCTTTTCTCTTTTGGCTATAGATACTATTTATGTCTTCAGCTTCGGCAGGACATCATTGCAGGACGCCTGCCCTGTTCCTTTGCAACCTTAGCATTATTAGGCTCTTATACCATCCAGTCTGAGCTGGGAGACTATGACCCAGAACTCCATGGTGCGGATTATGTTAGTGATTTTAAACTGGCCCCAAATCAGACCAAGGAACTTGAAGAGAAGGTCATGGAACTGCATAAGTCATACAGGTAAATATGTCTCCAGGGGTTTGTTCTGTGTTTATTTTGGCAGTAAGTTTAAACCTTGACCCTGGGATTGATTTGGTGTTTGACTTAGTAGAAACTGGTGCCACAGAAGGAGTCAGCATGAGCTCAGTTCCCTCCCAATTCTTTGGGAAAATCTTTTTTTTTTTTTTTTTTTTTTTTTAGCTGAGCCATCCTGCTACCTATTGGCAGCTTAGCGGCAGCTCAGCTCGGGCCGGGCATCGAACCGCTGTTGCTCAGAGCTCAAACTCTTGAGCGAGCTCTTAACCAACTGAGCCACTCGGCCGGCCCTTGGAAAATCATTTAAACCCTCTGAATCTTGGTTTTCTCATCAGAGTAATAGGTGTTGCATTGTAGGAGAAAACGAAATGAGGTTAACATATGCAAAGCACTAAGCATAGTGTCTGGCACATAGTAGGTGTTCAATAAGTGTAGCTATTATTATTATTGTCTTAACCTTTTTTCAGATTGTTAAACTTACGCTGTGTCAAGCGCTCTGAGATCCTTAGCGCAGGGTTCTTAACTTGGGGTCTATGTACACTGATGGACTTCAAAGGGCCCACGAAACCTCTGAAGATATATTTTTTTAAGTCTTTATTGAATTCACTGCTTTTTTCCCTGGAAATAATTGGTAATGTTGGGAGGTATCGTAACACAGTGATCAGGAGCAAGAGCTTATAGTTAGACTGAGCTGGGCTGAATTCTTGGCTCTACATGGTTCTGGCCTTATGGCATTGGGTAATTCACTTAATTTCTCTGAGCCTCAGGTATTTTATATGTCTGATAGAGATCATTACCTCAGAGAAAATAGGGCGGTGGATAGGATTAGAACAGATAATGTGTGGAAAAACGTAACACAAGTGCCAGAATAATGTGTTTCTTCCTACCAATTATTCCATTGTTATTTGAGTGACTTGCTATAGCTAAATTTTACAAACTGCCTTAGGCCATTAAGGTGAATGTCTGATCTTGGCCTTGAGTTAGAACCCTGAGTTATGTTAGCATGAGTTACGTTGCAATGTTCCACTGCTGAGAAATCCAGAATGGTTTTAGCAGGCTTTACATGGTAGTAACAAGTATACTGTCTAGACTTTGAGCAATGTTATTTTCCTTAGAGTGGTTACAATAGGATTGCATGGATTGAGATGCTTCTAATAAGAGAGCTTTAACTCAAGGCATCCCAATTCTGGTTGCCTTATTGCCCCTGTAGGTTCCAGTACATCAGCTTTGAGAACCATAAGAGCTTTAAAGTCCACAACCTACATAACAATAGCCTTATAAGAATCACCCTACTTTCATGGGGTCACACTGTTTTCAAAGAGAACTGTATACTGATATCTAGGACCACTAAATATACAATTTTCAACTTGCTGATGATTGTGACTTAAGGGTGTTACATTGTCCTTAAACACTTTTATTTATATTCTGATTATGACTCTAAAAATTTATATACATACACATATATACATACAAAAATAGTGGAAGCAAACAGTCAAAATAATTTGATATGTTAGAATGTCAGAATTGTAGTGGAATGTTTATTTTCTAATAATTTAAAAAAATTTTTTATTATTGGTAGTATAATCTTTGGGCAATCAGTAAAATAGTAAACAAAATTATTTTACTGCTGCTTTGGAGCCAAACAGCAGAAAATAGTCGTGTCAGATTGTGATATATACCTTAAATCTATCTTTGATGATTCTTTTAATGGTTATTTGATCATAAGAGAATCTCAGGTTTGGGAAGACTTTCTAGACTCTCATCCAATGCTTGACTCTTCTTTGTAGCATTGTTACCCAGTCATCATAATAATTATAAGCAGTTAATTATTGTATATCTATTATTAAGTGCCAGATACTACGCTAAGCAGTTTATGTACAATATCACATTTCATCTTTATAGCTGCCTTTTAGGTGGTGGTTCTCAAAGGGATTTACAGACCCCTGGTGGTCTTCCCGATTTTTTTTGAGGGATCCATGAGGTCAAAATTATTTTCATAATAATACTAAGATGCTATTTGCCTTTTTCACTGTGTTGAAATGGGTGGAACACAAATCAAAACAGTGACACCAAACTGTATTAGTAGTCATTATATTTTTTACCAGCATGCACTTTTATTTTTCAACTTGCAATTGAAAATAAAATTAAAAGGGCCAGCTCACTTAGAAGTTTTCTTGACGAAGCAGTAAAAAGTATTAATTTTATTACATTGTAAATACATTCCTATTTAATATTGTGTGTGATTAAACGGGACGTACACATGAAGTACTTCTGCTGCACCTTCATGCTTAAGTATAACTGTTGTCTTGAAGAAAGCACCCATGTAATTCTTTTGAGTTGTGAGCTGAATTAGCCACCTTTTTTTTCTAAAAAGATTTTATTGGGGAATTGGGGGAGGGGAACAGACAAGTTGCTGTCCTTTTGTTCTTTAGTCTAGTAGTGGAGGACGTAGCTTCACTGGCCCATATTGGTATTATCATTGTGCTCTTCCTGGGTGAGGCAGTCGCTCGCCGGTCAGTGGATGGCTGCTCACAGCTGCTCCTGGCAGCTCACGAAAGCTCACGCTCACTACCGGCCAGCCCTACTGCAGCCTACGCTGTCGCTGGCGACTCATGGCAGCCCAGCTCCAGGTCGAGCTGTTGTTCACCATCTTAGCTGTACAGGGCGCAGTGTCACTGGCCCTCATGTGGGATCCGAACCAGGGCCATGCTGCTCAGAGCTGGCGTCCCAAACCAACTCTTAACCAATGCCACTCAGCCGGCCCGTAGCCACCTTTTTTATGAACACCATTTTTACTTGAAAAAAAAAAAGGACTAATTATGATTATTCAGACTTGGTTATTTGGCAGATATTTTCTCAACAATTAAGTGAGCCAGTACTTTTAGTGTTAGTGAACAACTGACAGTATTTGTTACTAATGACAAAATTCAAGCTTTCAAGTGAGAATTAGAATTTTGGAAAACTCATATTTGCCAGCATCATCTTGACAGGTTCCAAACACTTAAAGACTTTTTCTGATGAAGTTGTGATGATTTTAATGAATGTGATTTTTTTTTAATATATTGTATGATGAGATGTGTGAACATTTGGAAGACTTGCATTACTCAGTGAACCAATATTTTTCAGATATGAAATACATGATGTAAATCATGCATGGGTAAAAAAAGGTCCATTTAAAATGCACAATAGACCAATGGATTTTTTTTAATTGGGGAACAGTGTGTTTTTCCAGGACCCGTCAACTCCAAGTCAAGTAGTTGTTTCAATCTAGTTGTGGAGGGTGCAGCTCAGTGGCCCAGGTGGGGATCAAACTGGCAGCCTTGGTGTTGTGAGCACTGTACTCTTACCAGCTGAGCTAACCTGCCACCCCAGACCAATGGATTTTAATGTAACACAGTATAAAAGTTCATTGATATATTTTCAGATTTCACATTGCAACTAACCTTCAAGAAACTGCCTTTGTTGAGTTTTGGTGTAGTATCAAAGAAGAATAGTTTTAATTATCAATCCTTCCTTTTCTGTGTGAGATCAGATTTATTCATGTATTATGACAAAGTCAACATACTGCAGCAGATTGTGCAGAAGCAGATAGGAGAATCCAGCTGTCTTGTAAGCCAGACTTTAAAAAATTGTAAATATGTGAAACAGTGTCCCTTTTTTACTACATTTTGGGAAAATGTTGTTTTTTTGTACAAAATAGTTATGTTAAAATATGAGTTTATTATTTAAAGATTTAATAAAGATTTTAAATTTTTCTTAGTTTTAATTTCTAATATAGTAAATATTGATAGAAATAACCCACATAAAGAAAAGCTTTTTGGAGCCCTCAGTAATTGTTAAGAGAGTGAAGGGATACTGAGGTAAAAAAATTTGAGAGCCACTGAGTTAGGTAATAAACGAGTTGGGCTCTGGAGTCAGTCTGTCTTACTTTGAATTCAGACACCATTCCTCGTTAGCTTTATGACTCTTAGTAAGTTACTTAAGCACTCTAAGCTTCAGTTTTCTCGTCTGAAAAATGAAGGTGATAATGTGAATTTTGTGATTGTTAAATAAGAAAATTCATGTAAAGTGGTTAGCACAATGGTTAGTATGTAGGGAGGATTCAAATGTTTGCTAGAATAATAATAATTCTAATTCCTATTTTATAAGTGATGCATGTGAGTCTGGGATTAGAGAACCATTCTTTGGAATGTAGCAATTAATTTAAACCCCAAAAGGTGAATGATATTAGAGGACAGATGGATATGGTCCAGTTGATGTCTGTTTGGTGTATGGATAGAAATTGAGCAATAATGGGTCTCCATGAGTAGAAAATTTAGAGATCTGTCATCTTGGAAGTTATTTACTCCTTTTTGGGAAGGTTGATAACTCTCACAAATAGAAAGCCAAATGGAATTTTTTTTTT